CAGTTTCGGGTTTCTTGTAAAAAACAGAAGCATCACAACATCCATTGGCAGCCTGAACTTCCATTATTGAAATAAAGTTATCAGCAGCAATGTTGTTCTTCGTCATAACATATACTGTTCTAAGCTGGACAACGTGTCTTCTGGTGGTTTCCTGTGTTTCATACTTAATGTTCTTCTTTGCATTTGCAACTGTCATGTGAAAGCTTTTTCTGAGCTTGAGGTCACTGATACTTGTAATGTGATCTTTCGAATTTTCGTGTTTTTCTAGGGCCGACTTTTGATAATTGTTACAGCCAGTTGTTATGAAAGGGTTTTTCTTACCTGTCATTGCACAGATATCACAATACATTTTTTGTTTTTTTTCTTTCAACTATGTGAATTCTTCCATCCAAGCTGGCAAGAAACACCTTTTTTTTGCAGACTGTAATTTTGAATCCGCCACCTTGCACTGTGCCCCAGAATGGCTCACAATCACGCATTAGTTCCCAACCCTCTGTGAGGAGTTCATAGCAAGAGCAAGCTTGAGAATGATAAAAAAAGGTGGCGCTGTAATAGTCAATTTTAAGGAGTGAATGAGGCAGGTTTGGGAGTTGAAAGATGGACTAAGAAAACAGAACAAAGATTCCAAATTCTAATTTTATTCTCATATTGTATCCGTAACTCGTGGCAAAGGCTACTTCGTGTCAAGGGTCAACTACTATTCTAATTCAGATTGCAGCTTCCACTTGTTTTGCCTCATCACTAGTAGTGATGTCAATATAAATCCTGGCCCTGAAAAGTGCACCATTTGTCACAAATCTATTGCTCAAAACCATCAAGCTTTAAGCCGCGATGATTGCGACTCAAGGTGCCATATAAAATGTGGACGCGTCATTCCAAGACAATACACAAGCCTCAAACAAATGGATACCTTTAACTGGATTTGCCTGCCGTGTTCATTGTCAGATTTGCTATTCTTCAATATGACACTGAACTCGTGAATCAGCTCTTCTATTGACTCTTCTATGGTCTCCACTGAATCACAAGCAGACGAAATATCCAGTTTGAAGTCCAACGTCTTATCTTATTATAAATTCAATTTATCTATAGCTCACATCAACATCAACAGTATTTGGAATAAGATTGACGAAGCTAAACTTCTTCTCAATGAAGGCTGATTTGACTCTTGCCATCTCGGAAACTAAACTTGACTCTACATATGACAGTACTCTTCTACAGCACCCTTGCTACAGGATCATGAGGAAAGACCGGAAGAAGGGAGGTGGTGGTCTGTTGGTATACATCTGGAATGGTGTCTGCTTACAGGAGACTTAAATTGGAGCCACCCAACATGGAGCCAATTTGTATTGATGTGAAGGGTCATAACAACTCAAGATTCCTTGTCCTGGCATGCTATAGATCTCCCAGAAAATATAAGCCAACAGATATTTTCCAATCTATATACTCTGCAGCCGAGTCACTGTTTAACATCAAAAATGAAAGGCTCATTATTGGCGATCTCAACTTTAACATGTATGTCAATGGCAATACTGAAGCAGATTTTCAGTTAACTGAGTTCTGTGATCGTTTCGTTGTCTAATACAATTACTGAACCAATGCGTGTAACCAACAACTCTGCACCCTTGATTGATGTCATCCTCACCAGCAACCCTGAGTGGTTTGCCTTAAGTGGAACAGTGAAACTGGGTATTAGTGACCACGATCTAATCTACAACATACGAAAGCAGAAAATCCAGCGACCTCCACCTAAGCTCATTGAATGTCGAAGTATGAAAAACTTGAAAGAGAGGAATATCTAGATGATCTCAGTAAAATCCTGTGGGATTCAGCCTTCATCTACGACAATGTTGATGACATCTGTGAGCACTGGTATCAGCTGTCTACCGAGGTTGTGGACCAACACATGCCCCACAAAAAGTTTATCAGGATGGATCAGCTACCCTGGATCACGCCTGAAATATCCTCTGCAGTCTCAAAGCGTAACATCCTATTGAGGAAATTTAAGAAAAATAGAACTCAAGATAACTGGGAGAATTACAAGGAACAAAGAAACATTGTTACTACCCTAAAGCGCAAATCTATGAAATCATATTTCATTCGCACTTCAACTGAATGTACCCACCCAGGCAAATTCTGGAAAAAATTCAAACCCTTATTGCCTGCTAAATGTGCTCCACAACAAAATATACAAGTATTGGAGGAGGCCAGATTGATAACGGATAACACTGAAGTTGCCAACGTATTTAATAAACACTTTAGAGACGGTGTTTCTGCACACACACCAACTTTATGTGAGAGTAACTTTGTTAACCATGCTAGTGTCAATGAAATCAGACGGAGACATAAGTGCAAGCATTTCTCCTTTTCCAGCGTTGAAGTGGGCTATATAAAGGATCTTCTAGTCTCTATCAATCCTAATAAGGCCACCGGATCCGACAACATATCACCACGGGTCCTTGCAGTGTCATCTGAGGCTCTGGCAGTTCCTCTTATCAATCTGATTAACCACTGTATAGTAGCTAATGCGTGGCCAAGCCTATGGAAATGTAGCAATGTGACTCCACTCTTTAAGAAGCACAGCC